GGAGATCCTACACAGCCTACAAAGTAGTATGGTAGTTTTAGAGTCTTCAGTGACTTGTGATTTGATGCTAGATAACCACTGTATTTTTACAACAGGATGACCAATACCTCTCCTTCTCCATGAAATGATCTGCAGTTGCTTAGGGAATTGTATTACCAGGGCAAAGCTGTGATTCAAAGTTTCAGCTAAATAGAGACCAGTCTGACAATGACCCTAAAGCCTTCCTGAAGTCTGTAGTAGTGATGGTATAGCAATGAAGTAAATTGGATCAGCTTCCTAGTACAATTTTTGTTAAAAAAACCCAAGACCAAGGAGAGGTGAAAATACATTACTGGTACAACAGCAAGTTGTAAAATTGAGGCTAAAGTAGTAAATAGAACAACTAGAGCACTATCCTTTAGAGAGTTCAAGGGGCCAATTCTTGCTCTCAAGTTCAAAGTCAAGGAAATAAGTCTATTGTCACTTCAAGAAGTATTTCACCTCCATTTTTTCCCGTGCAGCTGTGGCAGACCACAGTGCATCAGCAAGATACTCAGAAAGCACCACCCCTCGAGACACGCACACGCTCTACCCAGCCCCAAGCTAAATTCTTCCAGTGTTGGTTACAACATCAAAATGACTAAACCTGATGGTTTTGTTCAAGAGAACATCTTTTACTGCCTAGGAAGAGGCACAAAGCAGCAGGTGGTATTTGTTTTTTCCCTTGTTGAAAGAAGTCAATCCCCTGTGCTTCAATTAACGTGGGAATTTTCCTGTCAGTTTAAGTGCAACCATTTCTGTGACAATGTCGACACTCCAGCACAGTATGTACTCTGTGGCTGGGAAGGCAAAATGTTCATCCAGCTCCTTCAAGGCTGCCACTGAGACAGCCTCATAAATCATCTGGCTGGACTAACCCAGATAGGGCTTAATCCAAAGCCCATTGAAGCTGATGGAAAACTTCCCACTAATTGGTACCTCAGGGCTATATACAACCATCATCCCAGGCACAGGACTCCCCATGCCTCTTGGAGCAGGAAAAAGCCTTGGCTTTGCCACAGAGCAGTTAGAGGCATAGCACATCCCATTCCCCAAGTGGCTGGTAGGATCCTTTTTCCCCTGACCTTGCACCTGAGCAGTACAAACCAGATGCAAAGTGCCAGCAGATGGGCACAGTTAACACTGTCATCCTTTCTCCTGGGTTTCCCAGTCTATGCCTGAAAAGCCTCATTCCCCCATGAGGTACAAGAGCTGTTGGGTCCCTGCCAGCCTGAGCACATGCAATAAATCTGACAGCCTGGAAGAAAGCTGGACAAAGTCCCATATGTCTGCTGTTGGACACATGCCCCCTAGACAGGTCTGCAGCGCTACTCTAAACATGTTGATAGGCCTCCAGAGATCCAGACAAATATAAATAGTAAAAAAATATCTGGCTGGACAAAACTTCTAGGTGGGTGCAGCAAGTCTGGGAATCCAGAACGTGTGGGATACCTTGTTGGGTGGGTGCAGCAAGTCTGTGTGGGGAATCCAGAACGTGTGGGATACCTTGACATTATAAGAGCTTAAAATGCTGAAAAACCACGTGCTTTCTCTGTTGGTCTCAATTTATATTTGAGTTGCCACAGTATGAACTACTAGTCACAGCACATACAAGGGGTGAAGCACAATGTTGGTCTTCAAAAGACAAAACCAGCCTCTTCTCAAGATCAGTCCTAAGCATGTGAACCTAGAATGCTAGAGCTACATATCACAAGAAGTATCATTTCCAACAGACTTCTCATGGAAATAAAAATACCCCAAAAAACACAAAGCCTAACACCAGACCTCAAGGACTGAATTTATACTAATCTTCTCCAAAGATTAGACTTAAACAGCTGGACATCAGTGGCTCCAGCATCACAGACACTTGAGAATCTGACAGCACATGTATCCTGACCAGTCCTGACATGGCCTCTGGCCCCTGGTGAAGGCACAGTAAGGTCAAGTCACTCTCTCTTGGGCATGTGATGCATGAGTCTATGCTGCTACAACATATTTTTACCCATCATTTTTTCTTGGGCACAGGCATTGGGTGAGAAAGACAGGCTTTCCATGTGCTTTTATCCCAGGAAATGGCAAAATGCGTCACTGCAACTGGCAGAGTTACAAATACTGCTGTTTGATATGGCTGCTCGCGTTTCTGGGTTTACTGTTCTCCTCAAAGAAGCCTAAACAGTGTCTGGGAGACCCAGCAAACATGTTACAGCCTACACAATCATCCCTCTGTCCATCTTCCAGCAGAAATGCTTCCAACCAGTGGTGGTTTCCCCAGAGTAAGGCTACAGCTCACTGATGGGAGAGCTCAGGGAAGAGCCCTGTGGCTGAGAAGCAGCTGCCAGTGCTCAGAGGTGATGGGGCATTTTCAACCTCCATGCTGTGCTTTAGGACTGCACAATTCATTTTATAAAACACCTGAAAGTGTTCAGAGGAAAGTCTGGCAAACAGATTTCTGTAGCTTTTGACATGTATGCAAACACATGGTAGTCGTATTTTTAAAGGTGAAGATGAACACCAAATCCCTAAAAATCTGAATGGACCAAAACCAATCCAGTGTGACATATCCATATGTTAATAACCACCCCAATGCTGCTGCCCTTCACTTGACATGAGGAGTGCAATGCAACAGGGGTGGATACACAGTTCAGCTCTTCCACCCATGTTGCCCCCGTTGGGGCAAGTTTTGGGAGGTCCCAGCTCCCAGAGTCACATCCAAACTTGAAAATCAGGCTCTGTTATTGCTAAGGCAAACCAAAAATAAAAAGGCCAGACTAAATTATTTTTAAGATCTCCAGATTTTTAAAGCAGTCTTATGACTTTTAAGGGGTCTGACTCATGATACTTGAATGTTTGAAGTTGGCAGCTGCAGAGGGAGTACAGCAAGATTTAGCATACAGCAATTTATTGTTAAAAGCCTTCAAATGTGTGGGAAAGGGCATGGAGCACATCTGCATTAATTCGGGAGAAAATAGGGACACAGACTCAGGTCCTTCTCCTCTGAAAAGGCTGTCACTTAGCTCCCCTCCTCCACAAAGGCTACCACACTAAATCCCAACAAAACGACCCCAAACATGAAAAAAACACTTCTCAAAAGCCCTGGATTTCAGCTTCGATGGTGGCGAGGGCAGAGCCTATTACCCCAATTCCCTGTGGCTGTCGCTGCCCCAAAACCAGCCACACCACGTGGCTGGCACCCAGGACACCCCACAGCCTCTGCACTCACAGAAGAGCCTGGAGGTCTTCAAAGGGAAGTCAAGTGACATTTTTCCATAGCAGAAAACACCTCCCAAACCACACCCCCCCCCAGCATCCTCCAAAGGCCACCCAGAGCCTCTATTTGCAATAAACCCTAAAACCTCTGCCTTTCCTTAAACAGATCTTCTTATGTGCTACAAGTATATAAACACCACATGCTATACCCTACACTAAAATGGGCTCTGCAATCCCTCCCACACTGCCCAACACACAGGTACTGGGGGGAAACTTTCTGGGATGAGAAGGGGCATGCACAGGGGGGAAACTTTCTGGGATGAGAAGGGAGCTTAGTGACACAGCACATTTGCTCCTCTGCCTTTTGGGGAGGTCACCAACTAAGTGATTGTTGTGCTGCCTGACATTTCATTTCCCTTTGGCCACCATGCTTCACAAGAGTTTATTTATCTGCCAGCAATGCTGCTGCATTTCCAGAGCTCAGGGATTCAGCATATAGCCTGACAAGAGCTCACACTGCCACTTGTGCATGGCAGCACTTCCTTCAGGAAGAAAGGTGGCTATTGCATCTTGCCTACCTGGAATCCTTCCCTACCCTGGTATTGTCAACTTCCATCAGACAGTTGCTGATGTAGCAGGGCCTTATTCAAAAGGTCAAAGCAGGCACACAAAATACACTGCTTTCTGCTGGCTTCCATTTAAAATTGCTCTGAAAAAGCATCTCTTCTTGTACAAAATTCAGAATCCAAACCACCATGGTTTTGTCAGCTCATGAGAAAGAGCAGAAATGAAAATGAAGTCCCTAGTCAGAGTTAAATACAAAAATGAGAACAAAATGTGCTTAAGCCTAGCTTTTATTCCTTTAAAACAGTGCAGTGTTAATAGACCAAATCAAATCTTTACATCACTGAAGACATTACAGAATAAATGAAGCCTGACTTTCCCCCTGCTCACACCCACCTAAGTCATGGGAATTTCCATGAAATTGGACAGAACTGTACAGGTGTAAAATGAGTTTAGTTAATGAAATGTCATTCCCAATATTTTCATGCTCTTTCTTTCATAAATCAGCATCATCATACCCACATCAAGTTCTGCTCTCATTTTCACTGAAGTAAATCTGTAATAACTGGTAGCAAATGCTGCCCTTGCTGCCCACATCCATTTTCACCGAAGTAAATCTGTAATAACTGATAGCAAATGCTGCCCTTGCTGCCCACATAAAGTGACTGCAAATGCATCAGAAGTGGCAGGCAGTACAAACACAACAACTGCACAGTAATGGCAGACAATTCACAGATATATGACACAACATATACCAAGAGTATCTCAGCTCGGATGTACTATACTACAGATACCAAGTGTATCTCAGCTTTCCATTTATACCTTAGAACTTTAGCTCTAATATCTGCAATATCTGACACACACAAATATCTGACAGACACAATCCCTTCTGCACAGCACTCACACACACAGCATCTGAGCATGAACTTTCCTAGCAACAATTCATGTGGCCATATTCCATCTTTGCTGTTTGCGTTTATCCATGTAAGAAAACACCTAGAAATCAGGACATTTACCACAGCCAAAGGGAATTAGATACTAGACACCACTATCTTTCCCATAGTACTAACTACAGCTATTTTATGGCACATATCATTAGCAAGGAATCTTTCATTAGCTATAGCATCCTTGGGAAATTAAGACAGAAAGTCTAAAAGCCACAGCTAATCAAAGACAAGCCACAGCACCATTTTCCACATGTAGTACCTCACCTCTCTGCTTCAAGGCGCATTTCCTCACGCTTTTGCCTCCTGAGTTCTCTGCGGCGTTCAAAGTCATCCATGGTGGGTGTCTAAGCTTTCCAAGCTCTGGAAAGATCCAAATCTAAAAGAGAGATGATCACTTAGAGGAGAGAGAAAACACAACGGACGCGTTTAACCAACTGAGGTCCATTCAGTTTTGTTTTGCTGTTTTAACTTGGCTGTAACTATTTTCGTTTTCTATCAAAAAACTGAACTTCCTTAGTATTGTTGAGATAAACAAGATTAATGAAATGTCTTGTAGGATAAACATACCCTGTGCCTGCCTTTAGTTTCCTTGTCAAAATTATATCAACATGCTTTAAGTAAGGTCTGTATACATCTGCTAGCCACAGACTAGCTATTTGTAACGTCACAGGTCTTTTCCACAAACAAAAGCAACAATTCAGCA